GGCAGCGCAGATCAGAAAATGGGGATGGACGGCGGGTAGGGGGAGCGAGGAGTCCTCGGCTCTCGGTCTCGCTTTATCTAAAATGGCGCTGGCGAGGCTGGGCTGCTCGCCTTTGCGCTGTGGAAGCGGCTAGAGGGGCTCTGCCGCTTCCCTCGCGTTTGTTTCTCTTACGTTGAACTGCGAAAAATGAGCCCTGTTTCCTTTGGTTTGACGGTGGTGTTTCGGGCGGGGGTTAAGCACCTGCAAGCAGGGTAACAACTTCATGTCCTTTGTGAAACGTGCCTTCTAATCTGAGAAGCGATTCAGAAGTAGTCGCGGTTTCTGCCGGCTCGTTTTCTGTCCTCGGGCCAGCCTGCAGCTTAAAAACCCTTCCTGCCCGTGTGCTCTCACGGCGTAGTGCGAGGACTTGGACAGCCCCGGCGTTGTTGTCTGGCTTCGGTAGCGTTCATGCCCAATTATGTCTGGAAATCCTACTAAAATGGAAGCACGCTTCCAGCAACAGTATGTTCTTGCTGTTCCGGTGTTAGCGTTGAAATTGCAGCTATGGAAAGCTGCTTGTTTACTTAGTTGCATCTTCGGGGAAGGTCTGTGACTGTCCTCCCACTTGTGGGAAGTTGCCTACCGTTAAGGGGAATACAAGGTTTTGTTCGGTATCAGCCTGGGAGGGGTTGTAAAGAGGACTCTGCTAATTAGAATGAGAATGCGGGCTAGGGTGACAAGTATCCTGTCCAAATTACATTTGGATTAAGAGCCTTGATAGACTCTTTGAAACAATACACATTCACAACAGTTTCTGTGTATTCCTTCTGAAACAGACCTTCTCACTGCTACATCCCCCTATTTGAGGCTTTTTTTTTTTCCACTGGTTACAATGAAACCAGTGTCTAGGTGCACTAAGTTGTGTGATGGAGCCAATTTAAGAGCTTTCTGGGTGGTTCTTTTGCACTACAACTCTCTGCTGCTTTGGTGGTTCTCTTTTGTTTTCTGTGTAACTGTACTGTGATTGGAGCCACTGAGATGATGATGCTTTTTAAAATACCATTTCTGTATTTAACCTGGACTATTTCAGTGATCATATTCTCCTAATTTGGAGGAGGGGGAGGATATTCTGCAGAATGGGATGGAAGGGATGGAATGAGCAGCTGTTTTACGAACTTCCAAAGTGAAGATTTTTCTTGACATGTAACCTAGAATTAATGTTACTTGCATCCTCTCTAGAAAGCTCGTAGACACAGATCACAGATTCAAGTTTAGCTTTAGAGTAGCTCCAACTTACAGAAGCCCATGTCACCATTTTGTTCTAGTGTCTTGTGTGTTTTCAGAGAGATCTTTACAGATATGGTTTGTTGTGGTCTAAAGGACAGTTCTGTAGGCCCTCTGTTGCAATTGCATGGACGGTGCCCATAACATCTGTTCTGTATGCTTATGTGGGGATACTGAAAAATAACTGGAAAAATAACTTAGTCATGCATGAATTGAAATGCAGCCAGTCTGGGTACTGGTTTAAAAGGCAAAATGGTCTTAGCTGCTGTAATCATTGAATAAATGTACATGTAATCAATTCTTGCACTTCCACTAACAAAAGGCTTTGCGTTCCCTTTCATTTAACTTCTAGCAATTTTACTTTTTATTAGGAGATGCTGACTGAGATATTGTCTCTAAATGTCTTCATTGAGAAGGCTTTCTGCAGCAGTGTAACTTCTGCAGTAAATTGGTCAGTCACCTAGGTAGGAAACCCTTAATATCAAACATTTCCCAAGTGTATCAAATGTGATAACTTTGTGCAAAGAGCAGTAAAATTACAAGTCTCATATTGTGGTTTTCTTGCTTACAGACCTTTATAAGCACCTTCATTTACATATTTCTTTATCAAGTGTCCCTTTCTTTGCATAAGTTTGGGGTAGGTTCTGCTCACTGTTCTTGTTTTGGTGGGTGTATTAGGTATGTAACTGTCTGAATAATCAGACTGTCTCTCTTTTCCTTAGCGGACGTTACCTATCATTTCATTTAAAGGTAGCATAGCAGTCTATAAAAGTTTAACTATAGTGATTTAAGCTAAGTTACCATCCACTCTTTGCCTGCTAGAGCTTTTTTGTCTACCTTTTATTTAAAAAAAAAAAAGATCTTGGCACTTGTGAAAAGTGCCTAACTAATTTTCTGCTGATAAGCAGCATTTCGGATGGACTTCTATCAGTTTTGTGCCAAAAGATGCAAAGATTTAGTCTGATGCTGTAATACTAGCAAATTTCAAGTTAGTTAGGGATTCTGAATATTGTCTTAGCATCCTATGGACAGGCAAGAAACCTCCTAATTCCCTGAGAGGAGAGGAAGAACTTTAAGATTTACTTCTAAGCAGAAACTTTTACAGAGAAGCAATTTCAACCCTAACATCTCTTCCCACCTCTGTTGGATAGCTAGGCACTTTCAATTCTAAACCATCTGTGTGGCTTTTTGACAAATAATAGTCACAGGAGAGTTGTTAAGTTGATAGTGTCTCCTTAGATCCATCCCTACCAGCTTCTTTCTGCTTAAAACATCTGGAGGTGGACTGTGATAATCTTTTTGATTTCACTTCCTTACTGAAGTCCTTTGAGACTTATCCTTGATATGTAAGGGTACAGTTTGACCGCTGACTCGCAGTGGCAGTGCTGTCTTAAAAGCAGTTCCTATGCCTTCTGTTATACCAACAAGCTGAAAACAAAATAGGGAGTTGAGGGTGTCAAATCTGATTTAGATTACTGTGTGGCCTGACGGCTAGTTGTGCTGGCACACCGTGGGATAGGAGGGAAAGGCTGTACTGCTAAGAAACAAAGCTTTCCCAAAATTTGCAGTCTTACAAGCATTTTATTGGCAACTGTGTTTGCCTAAATAGCCTTTCTTGCCCCTGAAGTGCTAATACATTTGATTAGCATATGCAGTGAAGCAAATAAAGGAATGGATCCAAACCTAGGCTTGGAAAATAGTTATTAATGCACATCAGTTCCCAAGTTTGGACTGCTGCAAATCCTTATGGGTGTGGAGGGTGGGAATGGGAGTAGACAGGAACTGATTGAGCTGTACTGAAAGGGAAACGTCATGAATCTTGAGGAATACCCGTTTGTCCAGGTAGCTTAAGAGGAAGCAGTGATCTTAATGCTGATCTTTTGAGTTTTTGATGGGAAAGTATTGCTGGATTATTTTGAGCAAGTGTGGAACGTAGTTTATTCCACTTATGTTAGCCACTCCCCTTAATGTACCTACATTAAAAATGCATCAGTCTATACTTATAAATATCACCTTAAAATAGTTATTTTTATGGATAATTTATGTAACTATTCAGTCAAAAAAGTACATCCTTTCCAGGATGCTAGCTAAGTAGCTGAGGAATGATGCTGAAGTAGCATGAGACTTTATGCTACTGCTGCAGTTCCTGTCTTAAAATGACATTAGAAGAATTGTTTTGAGCTGCTGCATCTGCAGTGCAGCAAGGAAGGCTAGAGGTGAAAGGACAGAAAAGCTACTATAGAAAACAGTTAGAAAAATGCAGATATAGATGACTGAAGGTATGTGAACTGAAACCTAATAAATAGAAAATTGTTGAGCGATGTAGGGAATGGATCCTAAAAGGTTTATCATAAGTCTATGATGTATATAGTATCTGGGAAAGTGTGTAAAGATGTCTGTATGCTTAATCAGAGGTAAGAAAATGGTAATTCCTGTTCTGTCTTCTAAAACAGGACTGAAGAATTCTATCAGAAAGCTGAAACTAGTGTTCAACTTGTTTAGGTTGTCTTGGTGTAAGGTATATTTTCTGCTCTTGGGCATCGCCGCTTTTGTATGGGGAAAGCATTTAGGGAGGTCTAATCAGATTTGTCATATGAGGTTTTGTATACGCTGAGTATCTTCTCTAAAGACTTACAGTGGAGCTTCATTGTTGTGAATGCTGATGTTTTAAATACTTCTCTATCATCTAAGCTGTCTAATACATATAAAAGAGCAAACAAAGTCTGGGAGTTAGTTTAAACTATTCATGAGTAATTAAAGGAAACTATTTAATGCATATCCTTGTTTCTTTTCTAAGTGACATCCGGAAAACTTTTCTATGCAGCGAAGGTAGCATTAACTGAAGGTGTCATGTTCAAAATCGGAGTATTTGCACCTAACCTTGAAGTCAGCTGACTTTTTATTGTATGCATCTATTTGTTTTACTTTCCTAATTTTTGATCTAAATAGTGTTAATAACACTTTCTTTAACAGTGAACTACCTCTTATGAAATAAAGAAATGGATGGGATGGATGAAACATCTAAAAGAATCCTAGAGCCGTACCAGTATTTACTTCAACTACCAGGCAAGTTTCTTTGTACAGTGTTGGTTTTAAATATCAAAATTGTTTTTATAGCAACTTTTGTCTCGGGAAGTATAAGCCATGAAGTTTATCCATTCTTGATTTGTGTATTTAAGAGTAATTAAAAGTAAGTTTTCAATATTTTTTCCTTCCTCTTTTAGAACCACTCTTTTTGGTGAGATTGGTACAATAGCTCTTGAGTCTGTCTGTTGCAGTGTAAGTAGTATTTCAGTTACTCTGTTCTCCAGGCAGAGTAGCTGACTGATAAGGGCAAGTACTGAAGGCTTGATCCCATACTTAAAGAACAAAACATCGCCATCCCTGAGTTTATCTGCTTGTTGGACTGGACTCAATGGGTTGTGTTCTCCCCCCCCCGGCCCCCCCAGCCTGTTTCTCTTGTGTAATTTCTTCTCCCTGGTATGCGTAGAGCCAGGCGTTCTTGTGGCCAGTTTTGACTGTCCCTGGATTTCTTCACTTGCCAGAGGATCAAACAGTCCTTGTGTGTTATCAGGTCACTAGTAACACTTCAAATGAAGTTTTCGATCTTGAACAGTACCTATTTTAGCAGAATTCAGGAGGCAGTTTGATACAGAACTGCTATATGGATATGCCTCTCAGAAGCCTCTCTGCTGACTAAACAGTTGGATTGTTTGCTGTGGCTTTTATTTGTACTACCATACAAGCTATCAAAGTGACTAACTTTGTAAAAACAGTGGCAGAACTACTTTGTCATTAAAACTACTGCATGATTGCCTTCTCTCCAGCTTGTATCACATACTGGTGTAGTTAAGTAAGATCCGAAATGTGGTAAATATTACGGAAAATAATTCTGACCAAAATTAATCTGACTGGGATAGAAGACCTTCTGTCTAGATGAGTAGCGTAATGAATCACAGGCACAGTACTAAGTGGCTTTTGCACATCTGCAACAAGACCTGTGTATCAGCAGGGTAGGTCCTGTGGGTCCTAATTCGTTATACCTGTAAATAATGAATTTTGTTATCTCTACAAATATCCAGGATTGTCTTATCTACATTAGTGATTTCATTTGACTTGGCAGTTAGCACTACTTGAGTTGAAAAATAAGAAAAGGAAAGAATTTGGCAGTAACATGCCTTTTTAATGCCAGAAAGTTTGTTTCCCATTTCCTCACAGTATATTCCATTTGGCTATGTTGAACTGGGTGGTGGTTTTGCTAGAGAACTGCCTTGAGAATGAGTGTATGATATTCCAGAGAGCTTTCTAGGAGCTGGTTCTGAAGAAATTTACTTTCCTCCAATACCATCTTTAGGTGTGCTTTTTGTTTGGTTAGGTTATATCACATAACAAAGGTATATTATTATAACACCTCTGCATCTTTAGCTGCTAATTTTTTTTAAGGTATTGTAGGTACCAGCAAAAAAAGCTCAGCTTCCTAGTAGGAAATATACAACAGACAAAAAGTGCCAAAAAAAAAAAAGCTTCCATAGGCAAAAGTGCTTGACTAGTAGCTCTTCAGTTAGCTTTCATTTTAAATGATGTATCTAGGATATACGCTTAACCTTCCCACCTAGACTCCTGTGGCTAAATTCCTATGCTTTGTTGTTGTGAGTTCAACCCTGATCGCTCTATACTGATGGCTTATGTAATGTTATACATACTGGCAGTGCAAGCATTTTATATCTTATCCTGCTTAAGTGTCATAAATCTGATTGTCCACTTTAACATGTTGATCTCCTGTTAATTTAGTTTACATTTTGGAGAAGGTGAGAGAAGATACACTTCTCTCTATGCAGAAATGGTGGCGTGATTCAAAAGGGAAGACTTCTCTTAAACTAGGCAGGTAAAAGTGATGTACCTGTGGAAAGCTTGTGCTGAGTAACAAGTGAAGCAGTGAGGGTTCATGATCATATAGCTGGATGTTTACTGGTTTTGAAACACTGTGGCTTTGCCGAAAGTCAGCAATGCCAAGTACAGATCAGTAGAAGCCAGTTACTTGTGTGAACCTTGTAATCAGTATGAGCACCAACGCTTGCTGAGGGGGAAAAATTGGGCATATGCTAGCTGTTCACAATTGGGGTGGAGCCCAAAAAAGATGCCTGAGCTAATCTAACAAGCTTTTGCTGAAAGAGGCAGTTTCATTCCATCTTTATGCTTCTGGCAGTATTCTCCTGCTTCCTTAACTTGTGCCAGTTCTCAACTTGCTAACCAAATCATTAGGTAGTATCAATCACCTAACCTGCTAAAAAACTTGCCTGGTTAATCTTCTCTTGTCTTGTTAGTGAGCTGGCACAAGGGTGGGGACAAGGAGTTGTTTCTGTGTCAGATCAGCTTGAGTTCTGAGGGGCTTTTGCAGAAAGCTTGGCTGAGTGTCAAATATGTACACTTATGGCCATACAATGGTCCAGTTGCTTATCTTTTAAGACTAGTTAAAAACAAACTCTCCAAACAGTTTAGTAACCTATGGGAACTTGAATGAATTTAGATACATATCAAACTTTTTTATATAAAAAGGGATTGTGTAACAGTATTAAGGTTGTTTGGGAAAAAATAGGTGCCTGCTAATGTTGTCTGTAGCGTAAGAACACAAATTTTTCTAACTGTTAAGGATTAATCTGTCAATACAAGAGGAAGTTGATTACTCTGCTTCCCATTAATGAACTAGGACTTTCAATGGTTAACAGTTTGGGGGCTAAGCTTGTCTATTTCTATGAATTTAACAGTACTAGGATAGAGACACTACTAGGCTTAAGGGTTTTTTTTACTATGTTGCTATTTTAACTGCTAGTATGGTAACTAATGTTTATTCCTTCACTAGTAGAATTTAGTGCTTGGGAGAACATACATACTGAAACAGTAACTTTTCTTGTAAAATCTCATTGTAGTAGAACATTGCCATACTAGCAGTATTAAGCAGTGTTCTGCTTAATCTAGTATTCTGTCCTTTAGTCTTGTAAATGAAGCGCAATAAACAGGCTTAACTTTCACAAATTCCAATGTGGTTTGTCTCACAAATGGCCTGATTCACACAGATGATGAATCTTTTATCTCTGAGTGGCTGAGTTAACAGCAGTAGCTGTTTTTGCAGCACTAAGGAGTATATGGAGTTTCAGTTGCAGTAAAACTGATATGGTCAACAGCTTGCTATTGAAAGGGGGTAGATTCTGATCCCTTTCATGCCTGTGCATCTTCCCTGGCTTTTGTTTTTCAGCTTTTTCTGCTGGGTTGTTGAACTTGACTAGCTTGGTGAAGGAGTTAAGTACCACAGGGCGCGATCCCTACCACTGGCACAACTACACTTGGCACATCAGAGGCCTCAACCTGGGCCAAGTTCCTGAGGGAGGCTGCAGCTCTCCAGGTTCTGAGCTGCAGGGATGCCTGGGGGCACCCACCGGGCCAGAAGAAAGTGATGTCCCTGCCCCTTAAAGGTGTGTAGTGGTGGAAAATGTGTGTCACCAAGCAAAGGAGGAGTGGAAGGGGGTCAGCAGGCTGTACAGCATCAGAAATAACAAAAAGAGCAAGAACCTGCAGGTTCAAGAGCCTGAAACTTCCAGGTATATTGAAGGAGGGGCAGGAACAGTCTGTGCATATCAAGTTGGGAAATGGGTACTTCCACAATGGTGAAGGCTGGGAGCTGATGGCTTCTGGCACGAGGAGAAAGCTTCCTGTTCCTCAAGCAGATGTGCAATTGCCAAATAGGTTCAGTGCACTGGAAGAAGACACATGGCTGGAAGTTCTGTGTACAACAAAGCATCAGGCCAGCACCTGATGGCAGCAGCAAGTGATAGCAGTGGGGAGACTGCCTCCTGCGGGGGACAGAGGCCTCCATCTGAGCTGCTGTCTTAGGGAGGTTTCCTGCTTCTGGCTAGCCCTGATCAGGGTTGTTAGAGGGACTGCCAAGGTGTATTTCACCCTCAGCCAACTTAACCCTGCAGCTTTTCCACTTGAGTACTAACAGGTGTAGCAAGGGGATGCCTGGAGCTTATCAAGCATGACTTTGTGGCTTTTTGAAATGAGGGCCAATGACACAGGAAGCCAGGTGGCTTTTCTCTGTGATCTTCAACCCCCTTCCCCTCACCATAAGAAGAACAGACAGATCCTGCCTGTCAACAACTAGCTGATCTTGATAGCAGAGATTTGGGTTTTATGACCATGGGACTCCCTTTGTAGATCAAGGATTGCTAGAAGGAGATAGCATTCACCTACCCAAGTAAGGGCAAAAGTGTCTCTGCCAACAGGCTGAGAAATCTGGTGAGAAGGGACTTAAACTAGAAATTACAATAGAGGGGAATGACTGCCCACAATCAAGTAAGAAAATGGTGAACTTAAAACAAAGGGTGTAGACTGATGTGGAGAAGAGACACCCTGTAATCAACAGAGCCAAGCTGAAGGCAGCCCATCCCAGGTGTATGCACTCAAACAAGGAAGTATGAACAGGTCAACATGATGGGGGAACTCTCACAGTTTCTCTGGGGAATCTGCAGGACTGGGTGCCTCTCTGAAGTGCCTCTACACAAATGCGTACAGCATGGGGAATAAACAGGAGGAGTTAGAGGTCTGCATGCAGTTTTATTGGGGTATCTGATGTGGGACAGCTAGCACAGCTGGAATGCTGCAATGGATGGATACGGACTGCCTAGGAAGGCAGTCTGGGATAGTGAGGAGTAGGAGTTGTCTTTTATGTGAAAGAGCAGCTGAACTGCATGGAGCTCTGCCTTCAGTCAGATGATGAGCCTGTTAAGAGCTTATGGGTTAAGATTAGAGGGCAGATCAATAGGGGTGATGCTATAGTGGGTCTTTGCTACAGACCACCTGAGCAGGAAGAAGTAGATGAGGCCTTCAGACAACTGGAAGATGCCTCATATTCACAGGCCCTGGTCCTCATGAGAGACTTCAGCTACCACAGTATCTGGTAGACAAAACAACACAGCAGGGTACAGGCAATCCAGGAGATTTCTGGAGTGCATTGGTGACCACTTGCTATCACAGGTGATCAAGCAGCTGATGAAGGAAGGCATTATGCTGGACCTCACACTTGGAAACAAGGAAGAATTGGTTAGGACATGAAGACTGGGGGCAGCCGTGGCTGCAGTGACCATGGGATGGTGGCATTCAGGATCCTGAGAGGAGGGAACCAGGCAAAAATCGGGATCACAGCCCTCGACTAGTTAACCCTATTTTGAACAGGGGAGTTAAACTAGACAATTCTACAGTGACCTTAATCTGTCAAAAGTGACTGCTTAAGTTTAAAAGTGTATGGGCCTGCTCTCTTTGCTTGTCTTCCTGCAGTTCACATATGCTGGCTGTAGTGTTCCTTGTAGCTGTGTGGGGAGGTCTGCTTGGGGAATGTATCCATTTAGCCCTAATCCATCAGAGGACAGAGCTGAATGTGGAAGTGTACAATATAGCTGAGGTGATGTAGTAGCTTGCTCCCTCCAGAAGGGCAGTGCCGCCTTCCCCGGGCTCTTGGCATCTGCTGCTTACCCTGTACTGACTCTGGCAGACCCACTTCATAAGCTGACTCAGTACATAAAGCTGGCAGAAAGCTAACCTAGCAAAAAGCAGGCAGTTTTCTGCTGGGGTAATGAGTTGAATTAGCTTAGTGAGGCTCTAATGAGGGCTAGGTTAATAGTCCCTCTGCTCTTTCCCATGCTGTTCTAGCTCTTTTATGTACCCTCACTGTAAGTGGGGTGCTGCCTTAAGGGCGTAGTTTGTGGTCACTTTAATGCAGCAAGAGTCAAGAAATACTAATCAGGAGCCTGTCTGGAGCTGGAGGTCTGTGGGTTTTGGGTCTGTACCCTGTCACAAGAACAATGAGGTTTATAGAGAGTAAGTCAGGCTGATATTTTTTTTGAGAAGCATCTCATCTGTTTAAAGAGATGGGAGGGATTGTCCTCAGTACAACATCTTTAATGTAACTTGATCTTTGTTTCAAGGATAAGGGTTTTACTACTTATCTGTAGGACTTTCATCAGAGTGAATCTATTATATTCTGAATATTTTCTTTCTTGCCTTTTCCACCCAGCATTACTAAGGAGAAAAGCTTTCCATAGTTGCTCTTTGATTTGGGTAATATTGGGATCTTAAGCAGATTAAACCAAATGTATTTAGCATAACTTTGATAAAAGCTTGGTGCAGTAATATCTATTATTATAGCTCTCTACAGTAGGTAGAGCTTCTAGTTTTGGAAGTTAAACCACTATATTCTTCAGTTTTACAATAGTCTGCTTAGAATAATTAACAGAGCAGTGACATGTGACAGTGAAGAAACTGGATAGTTCTGCCAGTGTTAAGTTTTACTCCTTTTAATTTTCTCCTACTGTCGCTGGATTGTCTTGTCTAGTTTGAGGAGAGGTGTGGCAAGGAGTGGAGGCTTCTGCATCTAGACTTTTGAGACCAGTATTGGGGGGGTGGGGTTAGTCTTTTGCTATCATAGCATGGCCGTAGGCATAAAACATGCATACGGAAAATGGCTGTGCCATCACATAGACCAGGTAGGATTGACTTCACAACAAGGTAAAATAGCATTTATGTAGCAATAATGTTTCTTTAAAGGGGCTCACACAAGCAAATCTGCACCTATATAAAGGAAAGACGAATGTTTCACTATACAGATAGTGTTTTTTCCTTGAATAGTCAGTGTCTAGACAACCTTGCTACTCAAGGTAGACAAGTCTAACAATTCAAATGCTGTCTGTACTAAGGAACTGAAGTGGCTAAATCCACTGTGCATGTTAATAATCGATTTAGAGTGTGTGCTAGTAGTTATGTTCCTCATGATGAAATAACACTTGTTGCTGAACATCCAGCGTTCTAGGAAACACATTCAGAAAAACAGAATTAGCTGCCTAATGTAAAAAAAAAAGATGTTGTCTGTATCAATGTAACTTAGAAGTGAATGAACAGCTGTAGATCAGGTACACTTCCTTAGTATTATCTCTGAGTAGTTTTCTTCATGGATGTACTGAAGTATTTGTTAATACTTAACTGGCAAGCCATACAGTTTGGCAGATGTTTTTAACAGTTATTGTCAATATTTTTGAGCAATCTTTTCTCCTCAGTTAACTCATGCAATTATTTTAAAATAAAATATTGAACCTCTGATGTGGGACATTTTGTCCCTCCCTTGTGCAGTACTGGTGGTCACAAGTGTGTAGTGAGTCACATCAGGGAGCCAATGTGGCCAAAATCTGATCTAACTACATGGGGAAAAGGGGGGAGGTCTGAGTGGCTGAAGTGTTTAAAATCCTTAGTATCTGCAGGAGATGTTGTCAGAAGCAGGTTTAACTTGAATTAGTGGTGGTGCTTAGTTAATGTAAAAGGTTTTTAAACTCTTGGGCACTACTTTAATTTTTCTATTTAAATTTGAGCTCTGGTTACCTGTGTTAAAACAGTGAACTTCTAAGTCAGCAAATTATTGATGGAAATAAACAGGTTTTAATAAAAAAAAATAATTTAGAGCTAGATATGTACTCTCCTGATAGAGAGCAAGCCTGACATGCAGAGCTTAAAATATCTGTTCTGCTATTTGAGAGACAAAACAATCCCTCCCTCCTGCAGAAAGGTATTAGTGTTTAAAACTGAGCACAGAAAAGAAAAATGGAGAACACAAGCCAGTGATAGTGTATGTCCAGGTAAGAGTGCCCTTTCACACAGGACAGAGCCAGAGGACAAAGCTGTTTGGGGGGGGGGGGAAAGAAGCACCTTTTCATTAGTCTCTTCTAATGCAAACCAAAAGATGGTGGTGATGGGAAGCAGTGGAAATCTTGGAGAACAGAGACAAAAATTGAAGCCCTTTTGAGCCAGGGAGGAAGGTTATCACCCTTGCTACAGAGCCCAAACCACAAAGCTATTGCTTACCTAGTGGTGACTTAATTAGAAAAGGAAAAATCCTCAGTCCAAGTTCTCCAGGGTGTATCAGTGCAAGTGAATCTACTCATTTTTATTATTCTGTTTTGTACGTGCTGGTCACACAGCAATAGAGAAGGCTTAGAGAGAGGTGATTCTGTGATTCCTTCAGTGCTATGGGCAAGACGGCATCATCCACATGAGGACTAATATTGCAGAATCATTGAATTATATCTCTCAGTAGATCTTGAGACGAGTAATATGGAACCCACTGTCTAGGCTGCACTGCTTTGAAGTTTATTTAAAACTTTTTCCAAAGGTCTTGTTGATGTGAGCTACATATGCAGAGCTGTTTATCTAAACCTGTCTTACAGTTATTTGAAGATCTTATACATAGGTGAGCTTCTTAAAGTTCAGAGCAGCATTGTCTCAGTGTGGGTAGGGGGTGACTTTATTTCATATTGATCATTAGTAGATACTGAATAAATATTTGTACATGATTCCTAGCAATTTATTAAAGAAAGCTGGCATCAATAATTTATAGGCGCATAGGTTAACTTCTTAAAATTAACTCCGTCATGTAAAATGTATCCGGATTGAACAGGTAGTGCTTATTTTAACACTAAACTTGGACTTTCGATCTTCTTTTTCTTTCCTATGAAACAGGGCAATTGCTTGGCTCCACCAAACTAGATTTAGCCAAAGCAGAAGAAATGCTGTTATTTGTAGGTAGTAGTAAGCTGATCTGTACAGGTTACCAACATACTCAGGGTCACTTACTAATAAAACTGCCAAAACTAACTACAGTAACTGGTAAATATGTGCTTTGCATATTACTGTGAAATGTTTAAAACTGAAGTTGCTGATAATTGTGATTTTTATACAATGAGGAAACAAGCTATGCACTTAATTATGATACATTTTCTGCTTTCAAGTGATCACACTGATCAGCTTACTGGTCTCAAATCAGCTATAGTTGTTAAGACAAACTGTTGTCCCTAATAATGAACTTTGTCATTTTTTTATAAATGCCTGTAATATTTTTATTGTAGGTAAGCAAGTGAGAACCAAACTGTCGCAGGCCTTTAATCACTGGCTGAATGTTCCAGAAGATAAAATACAGGTACTGGCTGATTATTTTTAAAGGGCTGTTACTTTTCTTCCAAGACTACTAACAACAGATGATTCTCTTACATAGCATAAATGATTGGAAATCTTAAATGCGCTAGTTTCTGAATATATTAAAGTAAACTTTCAGGAAAACAACTTTAGTGCAAAGCTTTGACTGGATGTAACACTAAAGAAATTACTTCTGTGACTTGTCTTATGTAGAATAGTTACTTCTTTCCAAGTGTGCTCAACCTTCTAAGTTACAGATAAGCAGCTACCATTGTTACCCACTTAACATAACTCAGTTATTAACACTGAGTTTTCCATGATTTATGAAAGAAGCTAGACAGTTACTTTGTAAACTACACAAACATAGTGGTTGAAAATAAAATCTTATGATTTTGATACAAGAATATCAAAGACAACAGTTAAATCAACTTTATAAACCACTCCTTGTTCTGGACCTAAAACTGTGGTGATCTTATACAGTCTAGAGTCCTTATTCCCTCATGAGAAGCATTAGACTAGGAATTCTCCTTTCCTTTTGCTTTTCTGTTGGACAAATCTGTGCAAGATGTATGGCTGTGTACTTAAACACTGTGGCTTGTCAAATGAAAAATTATCCTCTTGGTTAGACTACCGTTTTGCCAAGCTGCATATTGAGGGTACAAAAGATGCTCTGTATCCAAGACAATATAAAGAATTAAAATAATCAGTTATGGTTTTGACTGTTACCCAGCTGGTCCCTTGTTAATTTCATTAATTGTAGGCAGAAGTGCATTTAGAGTTTGTGAAGGAATCCTCTTTAGGGTGGCTTCATAGTCCTCAAGTAGCAAAATGGTGTCAGCGATTTAAACAATGAAGGAAGAGGCTGTATTCATCATCTAGTAACTCTTTTCTATTTTCCAGCCTGTCTATATAACTTTTTAGCCAGATGTATTCTGGCTTCCAGCTAGACACTTGTTACCCTTTGTGCTCAGCTACATATCCAAATAAAATTTATTATATAGTAACCTGTGTATTGTATGCATGGGTTTAGTCTAATATTATAGATTAGAATTCAAACTGGAAGAAGCCTCTGGAAGTTACCTAGGACAACCCCTACTCAAAGCAGGGCTTGCTCTGTAGCTACTTTAGACTTCTGGGGGCCTTGCCGAGTTTTGAAAATCTGAGGATGTAGATTCTGCAGCCTCTCTGGGCCTGTCTTCACATGCTGAACTCCTTCCATGACAACAAACTCTTCCATTCTATCCAGTTGGGATTTCTTATGCTGCCGTCTGACTGTTGCTTCTTGCCCTTTTGCTGAACACTCATGACAGTACAGGTCCATCTTCTCTCACGTACTGTAGTAAACTAAAGCTGCAGTGCCTCTGTGTGAACGGAAGTTACCAGTTCTGCTCGTCACTTTTAAACTGATAATCATGTAATCGTTATTGAAAACTTAGACCACTTGTTTGGCTTATCTTTATGAAGAAAACTGATGCTTTAATGTTTCCTTTATCACTTAAGCTGTTTGCGATGGAACTTTATTTTTATTCTTCAGGTCATTTGAGGACAAAAACAAGACCCTGTTATCTTTTAATTTGCATCCTGCCACAACTATTACTGCTTTTGTGCATACTTGTACTAATTTTAATAACTTAGTTGTTGAGGTCTGCAGGACCACCTCTAGTCATCTTCTTGACATCTCTCATAATGTTCTTAAGACGTTCCAGTTGTCTAGCAGCCTGATTCCCTTCCAGCTGTTTGTATTTCTTTTGTTAAAAATCTGAATTCTGGCATTCCTTATAGGACATTTTTTTACCTTAGATAATTTGTCTTCATGTAGTTTATTTAGATGAATACAGTTGAGGATACTGTTCCTTGGTAGTTGATTTTACTGTTGGCTGCCACCATTTCACTTTTTCCCCAGCCGAGTGGTCTCATTTTTTCCCATTTACTGCATCTCTAGTACTCATCTGACGCTGCACTGAGATGCTTCAGCTTGCTGAATTAGAGAACAATGGGTTTGTCAGATGAACTTTCTTCTAAGAAGGTGCTGAAATGGCCTATGCAAGGCCAAGCAAATTTTAAAGCCATTGCAGGTAAGGAGGTAGAAATCTCTGTGTTGGAGTGATAGTGCAGCAGCCACTGATTCAGTAGGCTTAGGCTGTAAGAAAGCATAACACTCTGTACTGGTTCTTCAGCTTTCATTATGAAGAGCAGTCTTTTCATTTCCTCAGGCTACTTCCTGATGTCTTTGAAAATAAGCTTTTCCTGCTGTCTGCACTTTTTTGCTCCTTACTTTCAACTTTGAAGCATTTTTGACAGTGTCTTTTCTGAAGTTCACAAGGTAACTTAATTCAAACACAGAGAGTCATGAAGCACTATTTCAATTAAACCTTAAATGTCTAGAAGCTGCAAAAGTTCATGAAACTGACAGTAATATGAAATAGGTTAGCAAGAGAAGTGCTAGAATAGGCCTATCCAAGGAATTCACAGAATATAGGGAAACTTTACTGATAGTACTGAGAATGACATAATGGACTAAAAGAATATTCAGACAGAGAATATAATTCTTTAAAACCTTATCCATTTTAAATAAGGCCTTGCAAAACTGGAGGTTAAATCACAGTGGAAGACTTAATAATTTTTTCTTCTTGTAATAGGTTATCATTGAAGTGACAGAGATGTTGCACAATGCAAGTCTACTTGTGGATGATATTGAAGATAACTCAAAGCTACGACGGGGCTTTCCAGTGGCACACAGTATCTATGGAATTCCATCTGTAATCAACTGTGCTAATTATGTGTATTTCCTTGGCTTAGAGAAGGTTTTAACCCTTGATCATCCAGATGCTGTTAAAGTTTTTACCCGTCAACTTCTGGAGCTCCACAAAGGTCAAGGCTTGGATATTTACTGGAGGGACACTTACACCTGTCCTACGGAAGCTGAATATAAAGCTATGGTACTGCAAAAGACAGGTGGTCTCTTTGGATTAGCTGTAGGCCTCATGCAGCTGTTCTCAAGTTATAAAAAAGACTTAAAGCCACTTCTTAACACACTTGGCCTCTTCTTCCAAATAAGAGATGACTATGCCAACTTGCACTCCAAAGAATATAGTGAAAACAAGAGTTTTTGTGAAGACTTAACTGAGGGCAAGTTCTCATTCCCAACCATTCATGCAATTTGGTCAAGACCTGAAAGTACTCAGGTGCAAAACATTTTACGTCAAAGGACAGAGAACATAGATATAAAAAAATACTGCGTACATTACCTTGAAAATGTGGGTTCCTTTGAGTACACCCGGAATACATTGAAAGAGCTTGAATCTGAAGCCTATAAACAAATTGAATCACTTGGGGGAAACCCTGAGCTTGTAGCACTAGTTGAACAGCTGAGCAAAATGTTCAAAGAAACTGAAAATTAAAAATTTCACTTCTGGGGGTGGATTAAAATGGGAAAATAACCAGACTATCTCAGAGGTGTGATAATCAGTCTCACTTAAAACTTTCTCTTATAGCCATGTTACAGAAATTACTGTTAAAAACAATTTGTCACTGAGTATTAAAATATATACCCTATTATCTATACAGTCTTGACTGTTAACTGCTTACAGATGGCTTTGTTAAAGTGGATGTACTGGAACTGAAACAAGTTTTGAATCTAAATGTGATCATCTTTACACAGTCATCAGCTTTATTGCATATCTATAACCAGGCTACTGTAGGTTTCTGGCTGATATTCTGTGTTGAATTAAATCAGATTAACCTGAGTGTATCGTGCGTTCTCAGACAATGCTCTAATAAACCAAAATGTACAATGTTTAACAAAAGAAGGTATTTGCAACCACAATGCACATAGAACTGTTGTGTGATATTTCTAAGTTAGACTTGTGAAGATCAGATGGATCAGCATGCCAAGTTCTAAAGTGAATATTCTATCCAGCTTCTGGGCATATTTTCAGGAGAATGTGAATTATGAAAGATAGTAAATAAGACTAATGTGTAGTCTGAAATTGTAGCTTTATAAAGATTTCGAAGTACCTTAGAGAAAAGATTCCATTACATCAGCAAAGCATAAATTTGCTGCTGATTCCAGCTCTGCAGTGAATAATTTTGATCACCTGGTTTTAGATTTTTAAACTGTCAAATATTTTGTAGCCAGGGACTTAAATCTATGCATTAGAGCTCATACATGTAACTGTAAATAGCAACATGGTAAGCTGCTATCAGAAATGGGATGGGATTCACACCAGGTAACTTTAGAACACCATAATTGGTGCAGGTCTCCTTAATCTCTATTTATAATTGAGAGGGGCTTCTCCAGGAGTTGATTCATAATTCATACTGCATTCCTGTTCTGAATTGCTATCTAGAGGCATGTTACAGGTCTCTCCAAAGAGACGAGTTCTGTAATTTTTTTGCTAAAATGAAGTACAGCATCTTGTTCTACAAGCTATAATACCACTTCAGTTTTGTTAATTGCTTAAATAGTGCTTTAAAATTACGCACACAGACATGCCGAAATAGAACTGGAACTGAGAGCTAGATTGAGGGGGGAGGGCTGATAAGCGACAAAACCCTCTGCTCATCTGTATATAAATAGATATATATAAAGGTGAACAAAACCTAAGCAGAGATGTTTGTTTTTTCTTGGCTGGGCTGGCTTTAATCAGGGTCAGTTCCCTCAGTCTTCACAGCCACATAAAGCTTTACTTTGGTGTAGGGAGGTAATGGTTTGGATCAAAGGTAGGACTGGTGCTATCAGCGGTCATGTTAGCTCAAGCATACTCTGAAAAGAAATGGCCAGAGGTGCTTGTTTTCTGACAGCTGAAGGATGTTTTTATGTAGGTGTTCATTTACTGTACCTGGAAAGCAGGGAGAGTCATGCTCTCAACCCACTGAGAAAACTGAGTGAAGAAGGTTGCTGTAATGTCTTCCCTGGGCAGCCTTAAGATTCTTCTGAAAGTGATCAAGCATGAAAGAATTCAGGATGACTGCTTTCTGTCGGAGACATTATGGGTGATAGCCTATCCCCTTTATCTGCATGCTGAGGAGGAATCTTTGTTTGCTCTGTGATTAGGCACAAAATAATAGCCTTGTCACTGAATGGACCTGGTTGCCAGGACTGAATAGCTTGAAGTTGGTGAAAGGTGTCTTCTTTAATGTTAATGACAGTGAATTGCAATTCCTTTTTTATAACTTGCAGTGCTTAGCAGTAAGCCTGTAAATTTTTAATGATGTATGAGGAAATACTCTCTGCAGCAAAGTACAGTGTTTATTTTGTGCAATGTCTTGGGAGTTTCTAAGCACTGTTGCAGCTGATGCTGAATGGGGGAGAGCACTGGAAAAACTAGTGTTGTCAGGAGAATCTCCTAGTCTTAACTGTAAAAGATATCCTTGTGCCTATTAGGATATTGTAACCAACATATACAATGCAAAGTGCGCTTAGTGCTATTTCATGTTTGCTCAGTTACTGATATAAACAGTTTTGTGTAGTCAAACTTCCCTAATGAGGCAGCTTTTGTTTTTGTATAAAACTTCTCTACCATCTGAGACCTCTGCTATGTTGTCACTTCTTTGGTTCATTCTGGCAGCTCACCCCAGTATTTATTCTAATACCATACCTTGTAGAACATGCCTCCATTAACTTAGGAGAAAGTACATTGGAAGTTTTCCAGCTGCGGGCCCTTTAAACCACAAATGGGTAAGGAGGGAAAAGTATCCCGGGAAAAGAAAGCTGGACCAACAAGAAACCATACAGTTCTGTCTTACTCTTCTGCCTTCAAGGCTTTTGATACCAGTATTCAAAGCATACCCTGAAGGTATATCTTAAAAGGCCCAGAAGCAGAGTATCCTCGCTCTTCACTTTAGCTAGGATGAACTGAGGTCTCTGAGGGTTTTTCTCGATGTATTCAGGAGTTGGAAGAGGCTGGGATCTTTCCCCTTCATCTGTTAAGCAGGTAGAGCATCTTCAAGTATTAAGTGTCAGCAGTGATGATGCTCCATAGTCAAGGTAGATTTTATATTTGGTGCCATAAGATGAGACTGTGCATCATCATCAGTATTCTCCAATATTGGCTGTGGTACAAGCTCCTGGTGTTAAGCCATGTTAGGAGAATCACTTCCTTAAAGCAGCATGAGAGTTCTTGTGGCTGCAGAATTAGTTTAGTTGTTTAAAGTGCTGCTCCATGTTGCTGTGCCTCCCACAACACACGGAGTAGGGTTTCTTCCTGATCTTCACAAGAGATGCGTTGCTGTGGAATGGAAATCTGAGTTGCAAGTGGAAATGCCTATGGGGAAATACAGGGGAGGTTGGTTTCAAGGTCAGTCCCTTTGGGCCAGAACTGTTCCCCTTATTATCTCCCTACCATTGCCAACAAGTTGTACTTTGATCAGGTTACCGGTGCATTTCTTGGGGGTTTAGCTCTTGCAGTGCATATAAAGAGAAATGCAAATACTAGCATTTCCCCCCACCTCAATCTGTTTTCCGATTGTGTGCTTGCTTGGGTGTAAATGAATGCTGTCACCTGTCTTTGAGTGGCCAGCCATTGGATAGGACATCTGTCTCTGCCTCTTCAAAGGCTGATGTTATCCACATCAGTTATAGTGAAAACTGCATCATTTCAGGACCTTCCTGAGGAGATGGCTTGTCTTCCACCTCCCCGTTTGAGCTCAGGCTGTTCAGGTACCCACTAAGAGCAACTCTGTATGTATCAGCCCGTTGTTGATACAAACAGCCTAAAAATGTTCATGGCAGTGGGAAAGTAGCTGTTGATACTTCTTTGTGCCTTTAACTTTATGGTTGATTTTGCTAATTATGAAATATCTAAATGCCTCTATGTGCTATGGAAATTTCCTTTATTAATGGCTTCTTTCCCCAGTTACTGTTAAAGTGCTAACATGGTATAAAAACATGGGATTTGTGGTTGGTTTTTTTTTTCACCTTATATAAAACTGTTTTGAACTCTAATGTGTCTTTAGCACTGAATTGGGCGAGGCTTTTATTCATGTGCAAGAGCTATATAGGTGTCTATTGCTCCTCTTTGTTCTGTCTTAATCTTATTTTATATTTCAGGTTTGATATTTACTGTGTTCTTTGTATTATTTGCTCAGTACTTTCATGGTAATTCTCTTTTCTCAGCTATATTTCTATTCTGCTACTAATACCATAGCGCACACAATACCATTAAACTCATTTTTGATCCTGGACAAACAAAATAGTCTGGGTCTGCTTTTGAAACATTGAATCTTGGCTCATCGTATGCCTTCACAAAAGTAATCCAAGATTTTCTGCAATCTGGAAATGCCAGGAACCTTTTTTCCAAGAAGCTAAAGCCTCTAATATTTTACATTGTCATAAATTATTTTTGTCCCATATAGCTTGAGCTCTTTTCCCTCTGCTACTCATTTGCTTTCAACACCTATTTTGCTTTGGTGGTAATGCCCGTTAGACCTTTCTGTGAAACAGCTTAGAATCATAGAATCATTAGGGTTGGAAAAGACCCTTAAGATCATCGAGTCCAACCGTCAGCCTAGCACTGCCAAGTCCATCTATACCATGTCTTAAAGCACCGTATCTATCCGTTCTTTAAATACCTCCAGGGATGGAGACTCAGGTTGGAAAAGACCCTTAAGATCATCGAGTCCAACCGTTAACCTAGCACTGCCAAGTCCATCTATACCATGTTGTAAAGCACCGTTTCTATCCGTTCTTTAAATCCCTCCAGGGATGGAGACTCAACCACTTCCCTGGGCAGCCTGTTCCAGTGCCTGACTACCCTTTCGGTGAAGAAGTTTTTCCTAATATCCAACCTAAACCTCCCCTGGCGCAGCTTGGGGCCGTTTCCTCTCGTCCTATCGCTTGTTACTAGGGAGGATAGACCGACCCCCACCTCACTACAACCTCCTTTCAGGTAGTTGTAGAGAGTGAGTTGTACTTAACTTGCTAGCCCTGGGGGAGAGGAGTTAATTTTTGTCTGGGTTAATGAATTATCCCACTCGGCAAGAGCTTGATGAATGTCAGAGCTGGCAAGAAAGGCAATGGAAAGAGAGAATAAGAAAACCCATTTTAGGCTCCTGAGGCTGCCTCATGTAATTTCACCTCGTTTTACAGCATCTTCTTCACTTTGTTAGGAAAGGCGAAAGAGCATGGTTAGCTTCCCTGAGCTTCCCTTCTTGCTTTCCAAATAGAATGTAAGAGATATTAAAGTTAAAATTATTTATTCTGATAGTTATTTATATAAAATTGCATATATCATCTTAAGGCTTTGGTTAAAGTTACAAATAAAACAGAGTACATTGTTTCATTACTGTATTTTTCTTTAACAGTTTTTCTATTCTTGAAGCCAGGGAAACATAATCTGCTATGTGCCTACTTGATTTGACTGTTACCTCACGTTAACATCCTTCCTGAATAACTGTTATCATAGCTGAGCACCAGCGTTCACCTTTTCTGCAGCATTTTTTTTAATTACTTTAGAAGGCACCTTTGTGAGGTGTGGCTAGGAGTAATCCGTGATTCATTAATTCACTTTCATTCAAGCATATCTGCAAAATTTATCGTAAAGATGCAGGTTAAACCATGGGAATCCTGATAGCATTCCTCACCTGTGTGCCCTAGGGAACAAATAGGTTCTCACTTAACTCATTGAAAAAGCATTTACCCAGCATCTCTGTTTACTACAGCGTAGAGAACCATGGGAGATACCCCAAGGAGGCCTCACATGATGCTCCCAGGGAGAGCACTGCAAAACCTGACATGAATTTGTGTGGAAGACTTAACTCTGATGTGAAGGGAAATCAGAGATAATTTTCTGCTTTTGAACTCCAAAACAATCCACGAAAATACTCTCTGCTCTGTTGGTATATGAGTTATATGCTGTCAATAAGCAGTTGCATCTTCTCTTGATCACAGTAGCTTATTTTCACTTTCTTCGAAATGTTTCAGTTGTTATTTCTGGAGCATATGGTGTAAGTTACTTAATCACTCAGTAAAGTAATTATTGAAGTCTGTAAAAAGGAAAAACAGTAAATGCATAGATTTTTGGTTAAGCTGTTTTGAAATACACAAAAACTGGCCTGTTCGCTTGCTGTAATCTAGTATATGTTATTCTGCAGTGAACTTCCGTTAGCTGAGAGAGGCAAAACAACTTTTCACCAACTTAAGTTATTGAAAGCAGGCTGACACCAAGGCCATGTGAAAAAAATGAAAAGGAAGAAAAAATAAAAGTGGTTGCAAGGAAAGAAACGTGAAGTTCTTTAAAAATGGCAGAGTTAATACATGAGACATGGAACTAACTCCTACAGTTTTTCTGTGACTTTAACTGAAGAACCTATTGCTACTTATGCTCTCTTCTTTTTGGGGGTGGGATGGGGTGTACAGGTCAAAGTAAAAACCATACGGAGGACTTGTCATTGCTATTCCCAGAAATGTAAAAACTGTGCTATAAACCTAATCTCTTATATTTTACACCAACCAAAATGAATGTTCAATAAATTCTGAAGTTAAATCCTTTTTCACTTAGGAGCTTATAAAATGCAGAAGTTGCAATTCTAGGTAACGAGGTGAAAATGTTAAATTGGTCTAGTTGTTTTATTGGCATTGGGACTGTCCTGTTTCTTGTCGAGTACATTAGACGAACTATAGCTATTTGTTGATTACGGTGCTAAAACAGAAGAAACAAGAAATGCAAAGAATAAACAGTAAGTTATGCTATTCTCATTATCATTTTAGAAATACTAAATACATAAATTCAACAACATGCATGTAGATTCTGAGAATGGCTGAAGTACCTATTAAACATGCTGCTGGGGTCAGAAAGACAGCGAAAAGTATTTTCTTGTTTTCAACACCTTTCCTGACACGCAGTCAAAGTGGAGCATGCTCTCAGGTTTGTACTCGGGAACGGTGAACGAGTCAGAAAAGGAGAGCAAGAGGGCTTACTGCCGTTGTTTCTGCTGTCATACTTGTACCACTGTCTGTGTAGCTTCACGTCGTTCAAAGCTGGAACAGATCGTTGGAAGGGTGCCCTCTGCGGGAGACGAATGGGCTCAGGAACCCAGGCGAGACAGCAGCACCACCAAAGATGTGGAAGAAGGACTAGGATACCTGTTTTTTTCCAAAGACTTTTCTTTTTCCTAAGAAAACACGTTACCTTTGGCAAAGGAAGACTCTAAGGTAAAGGCACAGAGATCTTCACTGGAAGGCCCCCTTGGGGAGCAGCTGCTTTATGCCGGGCGGTAAAGCACACCCTCAAAGCCTGTGGCTTGAAGATGCAAGCCATCGGCATGCCAGAGAATTTGGTATTACTCAGTTTGCTTTGATTGGAATATACTAGTGTTACCAAATACCTGTACTTGATTCATCAGAGATGAACAAATGTGGAAAACGTCAACTAGGATGCTTTGATTTTATAACCACAGAACTGTGTGAAAGCTATTAGATCTTGTCATACCTGCCTCTATGAAACTGAAGAGCTCTTACTAAATTTCTGTTCCCCAGCAATTGCTACTTAAAGAATACAGTCAAGTCTTTCAGGTTTTGCTGTTAATCTACACGTGCTGGACACCTTGATTCCTTTTTTATGAGTTCTGTTCTCTAATTGTTATGGCTCTGCTCTGGATCCTCTTCCAGTTCATTACTTTTCTCAAACAGTGGATGTTGAAATAAACGCAGCAACAAACAGGCTGCTCGATGCTGAATCCATTGCTTGCTTTTGATTATTAATCAGCCAC